GACTTTTCCACACTTCCAGACCTCTGGGAAGTGTAGAACTAAGTAAAGAATGACAAAGGGTTCATGACTGGGGGAAAAGTGCGACAATATCCTTACTTTGGCAGACTTTTCCACACTTCCACACCTCTGGGAAGTGTAGAACTAAGTAAAGAATGACAAAGGGTTCATGACTGGGGGAAAAGTGCGACAATATCCTTACTTTGTCGGACTATTCCACACTTCCAGACCTCTGAGAAGTGTAGAACTAAGTAAAGAATGACAAGGGGTTCATGACTGGGGGAAAAGTGCGACAATATCCTTACTTTGTCGGACTACTCCACACTTCCACACCTCTGAGAAGTGTGGAACTAAGTAAGGAGTGAAGAAACTCTGGATTTCATGGCCAGGGCTGGACATGGCTCCCATTTCACTGACAAGAACCATAGTTAATAAGCAGTCCCCTCTATTTTCATTGCCAAGATTGCTAAGTTCTGAAAGTATTAGCAAAGGAGGTTTCATTGAATGGTCACACTGACATTTTGACCACAGAAGTGAATAAACTAACAGATTGAGGGGGCAAAAGCTCCACAAATGTATGGTATAATACCAAGTCAAATGGCTGATTTCATCTCACCAGCTGTACTATTTTTGTGGTCCTTATTGTGTAAGTGAGGCAACTGAGGCGAGATGTAGCTGGTTTGAGTAGAGTAATTAACTGTACCAGAAAGGTTTGAATAGTGTTGCATGTAGACAAACATCTAGAAATGACCATTCATGCATTTCTCACTTTAGCCTGACATTAATATTATGTTATATGCCCCTGATCATTGTCATGAAAATGAAATACATGTAGGTGACAAAATTCAGAAAAACATTGCAAATTGGCCCCTCTGAAGTCATTTATGCATTGCGCTATTGAAAGAAACTTTCCTTTATCCACATAACTGATGAGGAAAGGTGCTGGGGAAAAGCACAGCACATTCATGTGCTGCGCTATTGAAGCTTAGAAACCTTCTTTTATCAATTATGTAATTTATGGGGAAAATAGCTGAGTTCTTTTAGTGAAGTAACAAATGCTTTTCCTTGGCCATTAGTGTTTAATGAAAGCACTGCATTGCCACAATGGGGCAAACAATATTAGCTTGCAACTGACAGCAACATTATCAAAATTAAGCAAAGCTCACCTTTAAAACCCCTTAAGCTGTAATATCTATATACAAACTCTCCAGACCAAATAAGTTTAAGACAATTTTATATTTGCTATAAAAGCATTTCCCCTTTAATGATCATTTTATCAATTCTCGTAACCTTATATCTTGATTTTTTATTGATAATGTTAGGAGAAAACTGATGTTAGCCACTCTTGGTATTTGAAGGCTTAAAGACTCTGACAAAGTTTTTTAAATGTTGTGCCCTAAAACCCCAGGACAGACTTTAAGATGGAAACCAAATTTTCATTTTAATTCCATCCAAATGCACCCTCCATTGCAGAAAGAACACAATGTAAAGGTTTATAAATGTCAGGTGGTATTGTGGATATACCTTAACAGGGGCGTAAAGTCCTTTACGCAAATATGCACGTGCATACTTGAGAAATTGGAAGGATTTTTTTCCCAAAGATTTTCTGTCGATCCCCCAATACATTGCTTTTGAATAAAACAAAAAGAAAGGAGGGTTGGGGAAATTCATGGAAACGCATTTGTCGCCACAAAGAATCAATCCTGACTGATTATCATTTTTTTTAAAGATTTATCTGGACAGTTTTTCCATTCAAATTAAAGCTATTCAGTTTTAGTTTTTTCTCTCTATATAAATGTCGCTCAAGTGAGAAATCATGGAATAGACCATGCCGACCATAATCAAGGTACAAAGCTGAAGCAAACCATTAGGTGTACTTGTGGCGCGGCATCAACAAGAATTTTGCACTCAACAGATGGCGAATCGTTTTCAATGAAAAACATTAGAGATATTCAGAACAACTGAAAATAAATAAATAAATAAATAGATACTAAAACGCTTACTATAATAATTGTCTGTTCCATGATCGATTTCATGATTGAAATAAAGGAAAAAACACAAAAGTAGCAAAGGAATAAGCTTGCAGAAAATTTACACAATCATGCACACACCAAAATTCTTCCAACCGATGCTTTTAAACTCCAAATTTCTGCACTTTAAGGGGTCATTTTTCTTGAGCTACAGTAGAGCTTATCTTTCATTCCAAACATTTAGCAATTGAACGAAACATCTTATTTGAATTTCTTGTGAAGGATATTCAGCGTTTTGGAAGTTTATTTAGGGTAGGTGCCTTGTGCTTGAAAACTTTCTGATTCCAGTACCAGCTCAAAGAAAAACGTTTTAAAAGGCTTTTTAATATCACGTTCTATCGTAAACAAGACTGTAATCTGCTAAAAGATGTAACTATTAAAGAATAGCAAAAACGTTATGTTGTTACAAATATGAATCCGTGTGCGTACTTGCCAAAATGGCCACGCTACGCCCCTGACTTAAGATCCAAATATACCAAAATAAAGCAACACTGATGGAATGTTTACTTAATTTAATGTAAGTAAAAAAGTGATGATTTCATAGAAACTACTCCAAAAACAAACAAAGAAAACAAGACCAAAAAAAACAAACAAACAAAATTGATAACATGAGAGTTCCTCTTTTATAGCCCTTATAAATATCCCAGAAGTCTGCTATTTTTAGCCTCCAGCCAATTATTACTTGCCACCTACTTCTTACAAGAATTACCACTAACTTATCCTCACCTATTAAAACTTATGTATCAGTGGTCCTTGCTGCCTACTAATTTTGTTAGCCTGCCTGCTACTATAAATCACTTTGAGAGGTTGTCTTGGTACTGCCATTCTGAAGAAACTTGTAGTTCCTTTACATTATAGTAAACAAGTTTTTGGTTTAGTCATTTTACACCTCTTTCCCAAAATCTTGCCCATAAACATAAAACTGCAGTTATATTAATTTTGATTGTTGAGTGACATGGCTTCCTATTGCATTTACTACCAAAAGGTATACAGAATGCTGAAATTTCATCAGTTTGGCAAATTAAATGGGTTATAAAAATGTAACTGTTGGCATTCAGCATTTTCTCAAACATGTATACAACGATTCAATGTCCTGCCAATTGATCTTGTTTATCTACTGTAGAGGTCCAAATGGCAAAGGGATCATCACTCTAGACTCCATTCGTCGAATGAGTGGAACTGAACAAGGGAAAAAGAATAGTTTCAGTCATGTTGAACCTGCACTACTTATAAGAAGGTGCATGTATGCTCATTTTCTAGTCGAGGTTGTGTTGACACATCCATGACTCCAGAACACCCAACATGTCCCCACCATATTCCTGCTCTTTTGAACCAATTTAAGCTTGCAAATTATGATGCTTTGCCAAATCCTGTCGGCAAAATGGAGTACTAGTCTAATGATATTTCATTTTCAGCCATTAGTTTTCTTTCTCATATAGTTCTTGGAAAGTGAAAGGATTTGTGGTGGGGGAATTTTACTGGGAGGGAAGACAAGAAGAAGAGTGGGGAGTCCAGGTGTCCCTCTTATTTCCATATAATATGAGGTTTCAGGTCTTTCTAGACCCCTTTCACTTGGCACCTCTGCCTCACAACCAAAAATGTAAATCAAATTCTGTTACATAGAACCCTGTTATTAAAAATGATGTCTACAGAAAAACATCTTTACCAGTGTTAGCAACACAGTCATCCCATCCAGGCCTGTTCCATAGATTGTGCCTGATCTCCTGCCTGGTTGCAAGATCATCATAAGCTGTAGACAACAAATAAACCAAACATCTCACTTTCATGTCTCAGTCTTAACTGACAAATTCCTGTTACCAGTCAATTACACTTTCAAATACAGTAACTGTTGTAAATATCTCAAAGCATTTCATTGCCAGAAAACTCTTAAGTAATATGTTGCAATAGCATATTATATGAAAAAGTCTAACAGCAAAGTAAAATACGGCCATAGTTTATCACGAAGGGAGCTATTTTAGTAAACAAAGACAGCACTTACCCCATATGTGATGAACCACATACAGTTCACCTATCTGAGAAAAAAGCCCTGCAACAGCATCATCTTCCTGCTGACGGATTAAAATAGCCTTTCCCCTGGAAATAATATTTACCAATGATGAAACAAATTTCCTTTTAAATAAAAGTAAACTTAAGGATCATTTATATCAACCTTTTTTAAATCTGGTACTGGTAAATGGGGGATGTACTTATAAGTTAGTTATACTTAAATAGGAAAAGGTGCCTATTATTGCGGGTGATAATTTAATAAAACAGCTCAATACCTGCAAGGTCTTTTCCTTGTTAAAAATACCTCTTAACGTCTCTTACCAACTGAATTTGAGGTACATTTATGTGTTGTAAATGAATGTGACAGGCTAAGGCTTAGTTTTTTTTTTTATCTAAGTTAAAAGGGCCGTGCAAAATTTTTCCACGTTTTAGGCATCTTACCGATGGACAGTGACTGCCGACAAAACTGTTAATTAAATTCTACATCATACAATTTAGGGTGAGGCAGACATCAGAGTTCTAACTGGCAATCCTCTAACATTTTGGCCTACTAAATGGCCATAATAATACTGTAACATCAACAGTACAAATAAAAATACTTAACCCGTGTATAAAGCAATACAAATTGCTCTTTGTTAAGTTGTACTTGCACATTAAAATGTATCTCAGTTTTATAAAATTTGTTATCTGCAAATTTGTAGTTTAGGATAAGAAACTACTACTAGTGAATTATGATCATTAATCTGTAGTTAGGATAAGAAGAGGGGCAATGAAAGGGTGCTTACTGAAGAACTCATTGTAATAACAATAGAAAAAATTGAATTTTAACAAACAAGAAGAAGACTCACCAGTTGTTTCCCCACTCAATGAGGGTTCCAGGCTATAGACAAAAGGAAATTAAACTATAAGCCATCAGTAGTCAAGAAAAGGAAACAAACCTAACAGTTTAAGCTCCAATCTCCACAAACAAATTCTCCACACAAACCTCCATACATTTCTTTAAAGAATTAGTTGAGAGAATTGGATAAAAGATCAAAGCATTTGCTCTTTGGTGATATTTTTTAAAATTCTATTAACTTTTTCTTTCATTGTGCAGTGATATTGTTGGGAGAAAGTTTATGTTGGTCACTCTTGGGAATTAAAGGGTTAATCCATGAACAGCTTTCCAAGTCATTGGACAGGAATTACCTTCAAATAATATGTTCTAAGTTCATAAATGTGGCTGGGTTCCCTGGGTTCTGGTTCTCCAAAGAAACTGAACTCGTAAAGAAGCTGGTTCTCTCTGTTGTTCAACATGACACGCCTCTTTCGAGCAAACTCAAGGAATTCCTAAAAACAACAAAAATAACTTATTGATTTAATATTGATTTACAGTTTTAAATATTGTTTATTAAAAAGTCATACAAGTCATTTACATGAATAACTGAAACAAACATGATCTTTGTAAAGAAATAAATAAAAGCAATGAGGTGTCTTAAAGTCATATGTGACTAAAGAAGCTCCTTACTTTTACTCTATTAGAGAACATTGCTAGTGAATTATGATCATACTAAATAACAGTTCATTTACCTAATTAAAGCGATAGTCATAAAAATCTAAGCTACAGTGTATTTAAAATCTACAGAATCTTACTGTTCATGGGTAGGAAATCCTTAATGTTAAGTTTATGAATTAAATTTCTTTCATGTTTGTGACATTTAAACCCATCTTGAGACGTCTCTCTCCCCAATTTTTTTTAGGGGAGGCGGCGTCTGTACACAAAAAAAAACACTGTTAAGACCTCACTTGAAATCAGGGTACTGCCAGAGACAAAAGTCTTGGTTTCCTTTTTTTTTTAACAAAACATGCTCTATGCACCAGTTATATAATCATTATCAACTGTACATTAAAATGTAAATCATTCTGTTCAGTGTTGACCATTTTAATAAGTTTACGTCATTGATACTGGAGGTTTCAGTTTACAATGTACAGTAATAGAACATAATTTTCAGTCAGATATTTTCAATAATAATGAAACACACCTTGTTTTCCCTGATGTACTGCTTGGCCTTTACAACTGATTTGTACCCACCTGTGTACTTCCAAAGGTGGACTTTAAACAAAAACAAACACATTAACTAAGTAAATGCATAACACCTGTTATGCTCCATGTAGGAGAACAAGGCAAGAAAAGCTTGCCTAGACATATCCCTGAATTAACCTCCCTAAACAAAAAACTGATTTGTACATATTATAAGAAGGATAGTGGGGGCAATTTCTAGCTCTTTTAAGAGCTGGAGAGTGTAACATTCAAATGATGATATGCAAAATGTCCTGTTTGCAAATTTTGCTGTATTTTTAGTTCATACTAAAACTGAATTTCTAAGGTTGGTTAGTGGGACAAGTGCACATGGGGAATGAAAACATATTCTGTATTTACCATCATTTGAGGAAAAAGTATGAATCAAAACAATGAAAACAATCCAAGTCACATTATTTTAATGCAGTAAAGGCTTCGACACCTAACATTTGTGAATGATGGCAATTACATCATCATCACCACCACCTTCACCATCATCATCATCACTGTTACAGTGATTTCATCACAATATAATACACGTATCTTATTAACCCATTCGCCCCTGAGCCACCCATAAGTGCCCGTGCGGATCCACCTCCCTTCTACCACTTGTGATGTCATTAGTTTCAATGTTCAAGGACAACTTTGTCCGTTAATATGTGTGCACAGTGAAGGGATCTTTCAAACCATACCAGAATGAGCACAATTCAGTCAAGGACACTAGAGAAAAAGGCACAAAAACCATGTCACGTTGACCCGAAAATTGCCATGAAAATCTTGTTCCACTACCCACCTACCTTTCCTTTTGTCTAATCCTAAGATCCTAAAACCTCTCCTAAAAACTTTTCCCACCAAAATGAAGCCTATTAAATGCCCAGCAAAAGAAAAAAAAATGAGGCAAGAAAAGCGAAAAAGAGGGAGGAGAGAAAGTGAAAAGTAAAAGTCAAGACTCCCGTATCACTATCTCAAAATTTTGCTTTCTGCGCATGCCTGAACTTTGCAAACTAATATTTTGTATCCGGATCAGAAGGCCGCGAAGTCTGTGACCTGTAAACTACTTTGTGGTAAGTTTTGGCTCTCAATAGCACGACAGTGACCAGAAAACGGCTCAACTAGCTTCAAAACGCATTTTTCGGCAAAATTTCCAGGGGTGAATGGGTTAAGGAATAGAGCAGTGAAAGGTTTTGTACACTCACTTGCTTGATCAAGTCTTCCAAACATTGTTGTCCAGGCTCCACATAATTCTCCAGGAAACTGTTTGTCTTCACTTAGTTTTGGTATAAATTCTCCTCTGAAAAAGAGACCAAAAACAAAACACTCCAATAAGCCATAAATTATTTTGATTGTAAAAATCAGTGTTTAAAATGGACAGAAAATCAACTTAGATAAATGTCTCTAGTAAAGTCCATACTTTTATTCCAAAGTAAATGTCTATTTTGAGGTTCAAAAGGCCATTTCTGAGTTGTCTCACGCCTCTTTTTCGAAGCAAGGTAAGAGTGCATTTTTTAATATCAAAATAGTTTTTAATTCTCATTCCAAAAAATTTCATTTTCATATTAAAGTTTTGCACTTCTTCTCATATTGAAAGTGAGGACTTTTTGGAACTCTAAACTGGCCTGAATTGTCCTTTGATCAATTTTTTTAGCTTGCTTTGCTTTTGGGTATGGCTGTGTATGATAATGAGTATTACACAAAGGAAAGTAAATTTTGAATGAAGAATAAAATTGAACTGCAAGATAATACACTGTACTTCCCCAAACTCACAAGGAATTTCATGAATAATAAGGGATAGGAGACGAAGTAACTAGAGATTCATCTGGGTTAAAAAATTTTATCCTGAATTTAATTTTGACCTGTAACACTTACATGTACATTAACTAAGTCTGACTCTTGCCCAAAATTCCTCATAAAAAACATGGTAAATTCCCATGAGCCAGGGGATACCGTTTGCGCACAATGGAAAAACAGGGTACTAACAAACACGAAAGTATTTAGTAATGAAATTTAATCATTAATGTGTTGAAACAATCTGTCAGATTAAATACCTACACCAAAGACACATATTCTTCAATGCACTCTGGTTTTACATCATTAACTATAGAGAAAGAAGAAACAAAAGTGGTATACTAAGTTCTATAATACATTTTTTACATTAAAAATTGGTTTTATTAGCCAACTGGCCTGCAAGAAGAGATTATTTCCACCGGTAGTCTCTACAAGGTAGGGTAATTTTTCTTACAACTTGTCCTTGATCAATTTTGTTGGAATACAAGCTGCAAAAAAATTGGCCTGTAAGGTGAAATTACATCAGAAATAAACACGTCTTGCAACAATTATTTTATAACAGCTAGGAACGATTGACGCTGTCAATAAGCAAACAACAAGCAAACCTCTCAGAAAAGGGAAGTTTACTTCAATGTGTTAACAAAGGTCATGGTATGTGAGTTGTGATTAGGAAATTTCAATTTATTTTGTGTGTTTCTGTTTTTCACGGTTTAATCGTTACTAGCTTGTGATCCTATGATTGATAGCAGCAAAAAAACGCATTTGTGTGTTAGCTGGCTTTTCAACTTCAGGGTTCACAAGTTATTCAGTGATTTTGTTACTAATAGCTATGGTGAGTCCTGGGACTCATCTTTTGAAAAATCATCCAGAAATGCTGGGCGATCCTGCACCTATTTGAAAGATTGTTTTTGATTAGCTGGGAAAACAATAGGGATTGTCACATAACAATGCCCTTATCCCTGAAATCAATGGAAGTGCAGATTAAAGGGGACCAGTGAAATAAGAGGTTTAGAATGGTGCAGGTCTACTGATGCGATCCGCTGAATATCAAGCGACAATCCCGCTAAAATTTATCATAACGGTACATAATTATGCGAATGTTTAGACAATCAACCAATCAAAATCAGTACCCGGTTTTCGGGTAGTAGTGACGTCACTGGATGGCATTAATGGCTGATCAATTCAGACGTTGCTGAGAGGAGAAAACGACTCGAAGCAATCAGATGAAATTCAGGCTACATGAACTACCTTATTACATGATATTTTCGCGACACATTAATTTTGTGATATGGGACGCCTACCTACATGGGACGCTTACCTATATGGGATGCATGACATGAATAATTTTGCCTCTTTGGGGATTTTTATGCATCAGGGATGTAGGACTGGTTATTAAATGATGCAGTAAAAACTGCAGTCAAAGCCTATGCTACCAAACCTTGATAAAACTACATAAACAACACAATTCCAATGCCCACATAGCAATCTGTTGGACCATTGAGTTTAAAGTCAACTAAACTTACACTCAAACTCATATAATGTGTCCCTTCCTGCCAAAACCTTCGAGTGCGCATCTGTTGAATGAATGAATCCCACGATGAATAAAAACTTCATTCACTTCAGATTATTAATGTTAATATCTCTGAAGGAATAATAACAAAGTTATAAGAAATGAAAAATTTACATAAATCTGGAAATGATAATATAAAAAGAAGCAACAATTATAATCTACTTTAAGTCTACACTCTAAATTCGAGATTGCTCCAAGTCTCTCAATTGAAGAAAAAGGATTTCTTATTTTACGAGAAAATTTAAAACAAATCATAGGATAAGAAGTCTTTTTCCTGTAATTTAATCAGGCAGTTTGAATTTACAAGAACAAAATATTAGTCTATGATTTGTTTTAATTTGTTTTTGTTATTTTTTGAAATAAGAAATCTCGAATTTAGAGTGTCTTTAATTACAAAGGGATTCAACATGCAGCATTCCAAATTAACCTGTTGCCTTTTCTACGGATCCTAGGCCAAACATCTTTGAAAACAAGCTCTCATCACTATTTCTGTAGCCAGAAAGTGATAGTCCTCTAGCCAATACCAAATTTTGTTTAACAGGGAGTATAGGTCGCCGCACCAACGAGAAAGCTCTTTTAGCCACTAAAAGCGTCGCCATATTGGATGTCACTATTATCGTTATGTAAGTAACATTGGAATGTCTTCTTGTCTGCGTAAAACCGCTGGCCCAGAGGGCCCAGTATCTTTGCAGCTTTTCAGAACCTGAAATACCCCTGAAACTCATAATAATAATAATAATAATAATAATAATAATAATAATAATAATAATAATAATAATAATAATAATAATAATAATAATAATAATAAATTAGCAGTAACCAGGATAAAAACTTGAAATGGTTAATTATTTAAAAACGTGGAAACTTTGTAGCCTTCCATTCTTCGTAATCTTTCCAGGTTGAAACCTGTAAACACGGTAAACTACTATTAAAATTTAAGGTTCAAACAAGTCTAAATATACAGCTAGAACATGTTTATCATTCAACCTAAAAACTCCTTCTTGTAAATGAATAGAGGGTTCTTTTTAAAATCCATATTCAATAAGCAAGAATAGGAGACGTGCCGTAGCCAGAAAAAGTCTACATGGGGATATGTGCCAAAACAGCTGTCTATTATATTGCTGCTGATATGCCAGCGCTCCGGTAATAGTAGACTGCGAACAGTCTCTTGTTTTTCTTTGCAAAGTTACTGCACGCGAGCCGCGAGAAACGAGGGTTTGCAATCGCGCTGCTGGATGACCTAAGAACTAGACGGATTTTAAGAGAAAAAGCGGACTGCAAGCAGTCTAGGTAATAGAGCTGTGCGCGTGCGTGACTGGTCATATATGAGCAAAGTTTTGGCAGAGATGGTGTCCGGGTGTGTGCAGGGGCACCCAATGGATCTGTTCCTCAAAATATCTGTTCTTCAGGCACATTTTTGCTGGCTGGGAGATGTGGAAGAAATAATAGTCCTTGGAAGGAAAGTGTTGCTGGGAAAAAGATAATTCAGGGTGTCAGAGGGGATTTGAAGTCTAGAATAGCTGCTACGGGTTACTTGCATGGGTTACTTACCACTCAAGATCTGAATTGTGCCCTATGAAACTTCCCAGTAAGTCAGGTTGCAGGTTGTAAGGTTGCTGGCTGGGAACTCTTCCATCAGTCTTGCTGGGAGTGAGGAACAGATAATTTTTTTCCAACAATCTCCTAAAATGCTTAAAATAGTCTCAGAAAACTTTATTCACGCTTTGTTGTTGTTTTTAGGTCTTTTTCTCAAAATTTCCCGTTGGGTGCCCCTGTGTGTGTTGGCTTTGACATGTTTGATATAATCAGGAGACGGTGTTACTGGCTCCTGGCTCCTGGAAAAAGCGGACTGCAAGCAGTCTAGGTAATAGGGCTGTGCGCGTGCGTGACTGGTCATATATGAGCAAAGTTTTGGCAGAGATGTGTCCGGGTGTGTGTTGGCTTTGCGTGTTTGATATAATCAGGAGACGATGTTACTGGCTCCTGGCATGGTTAGTCTGTGGTGCAGCCGGCCCGTGACGCATCTAGACCATTGGTATAGTCCGTCTATACAGGCTAGATATGGTCTCAATTTGTTTCCTTTTTCTTGTTCTCTTGTTCTTCTTTTACTTTTTCTTTTTTTTTTTTTTTTTTACAACCCTTGGGTAGGTCGATAGATTGTCATAAGGGTCCTAAAACGTCTTTTCCAAATAAATTCGAATTTTTCACAGGTAATCATTTAAATAAACTGCTCTACAGAAGCCAAGGAGCAGTATATTTTTTGTTGCACGCGAACTGCCCCGTCTCATTTCCAAATGCCTCAGATATTTGTATTTCAATTATACAACCTCCTCTGGTTTCCTCACATTAACTGCTTTCAAGGATTTCCTGAATGGTAAATTATTTAGGACTTGTGGAGCTCTTAAAAAGCGTCAAGAAGTTATCTAGTCGTTCAGTAAGCTCTCTCATTCATGTAGCAGCTGTTGCCAAACTTGTTTTTGTTTTAGAAAGCTATCTAGCGAGCTAAATATTCCCAAGTATATAATTGAAAAAAGGTGGTCAGAAAACCAATTTGAAGCACAAGATTGGATCCACGAAAATATATTAACAAAGAAACTAGAAACTATCTTTTCAATCTTTTCTGAGTGCCGAAGCAAAATAAAGAGATTTCTTTGCTACTTCAGATGATGGGTAATATTAAACATGACTGCAAAACTAATATATATGGCACCACCCATTATCAGACATCGAAACTAAAATTTGAATTGAAAAAAACACAGTGATATTGGTTTAAATGGCAAAGGGGCGTAAAAGATCCTCATTAATTAACAAATATAGGTAAAAAGATTAATAACTCATGCATCTGAACGAGTTTAATTAAAACCAGAAATGAATTGGGTCGGAAAATGTCAGCAGGAGTTAGTGTTAATGATTCATTTTCACTCTACGATGCTTCGGAAAAGCACTTGAAAGAAAAGAGCAGAAGATTGCATTGACGCTTTGTCTTCCTTTATTCCCTTATTTTTTACTTCATAAAAGAACCTGGAAGCTGGGGTTGCGGGGGTGGCTGGGGGAAGCGAAGGTTCCACTTGTCTATGAAGGGGTTCTGTATGGAAGCGTGTATTTAAAAACTATACAAGTCGGTGGCGAAACAGTCGACACTCGAGCGAGTGTACCAACGTTAATCGTAAAATTCCACCTGTTCAAACTCCCTGAAAAAATGAACAGATAACATGCCGCAGACCCTTCCAAACTTTCTTAATTTATTTCTGTTATCTCTTTCCTGAGACGGGTTTCAATTCCGGTGGTCCTTGCGAAATAAGGTACAGCTTTTCCACAATGATAATGGTGTAGGGAGTGTTAAAGAATAGATGGCAGAATGGTCGTTGTCGACAAGGCTTCTCCACTGCTACATGTTCACAGTCCTAAACAATGCTATAAAGAGTACCCCCTGGAACTCTGTTGCCATTTTGCGTGATGCAGAGTCTGAAAACCATTTTCTAAATAATCTCGAACATGCTCAAGGTGTGAAAATACCTATTAAAGGCTGACTGATATTCTGAACAGCATTTTCTATGGCAATATTAGTTACAGTTTTGTTTTTATTCCAAAGAAAATTTTTGTATTTTTAAGTAAAGCTTTGAAAGTTTTGATGAGCTTTCCCCTTAAGCTTGCGTCGTTAAAAAGACATCTTAATTGCATAAATATGAATTTTGCTATACTTGGACAAAACTACTGACGAAGGAAATGCAGTCTTTTAGTGAAATGAGAGAAAAGTGGAGTTTTAAAAATCGTAAAAGGGATTCTTCTCAGCTCATTAACTTTTGGCATCTGAGAGACTCTGCAAAAACAATGTTTCTATTTGCAGCTGTTTCGCTGAGGCTTTTATCGGTAAATTATCACGGACATCGCTCGTGTTGGTTTTTTTTTCTAAAAAAGGGTGTGCCAAATACAACAAGACACCGATATACTGGCATGAGTTTTTAAAAAGGTTTTTCCAAGTGTCTGCATTACAAGAATGGGAAATTAAAATTAAAATTTTATACTTCTCACGGCAAAGAAAACGAAAATGTTCGTCGCAATTTATGCTATATGTGTGACCAGGAATCAATTAACCAAAAGACATTAGCTAAATAATTACTGTGAGGCCTGAAAACATTGATTTTCAAGAAAACTTAGACATCATACTGGTTACATATCCAACAACCGCTTATCAAGAGATTATTTCCGAGATGAAACTGATGCAACATATAGCCAAAATTAGGACCTGCTAAACTATTACTTTTTAGTCACCGCATCGACCACTGAACATCTCTTCGGTGGTAAGCAGGCTTTTTGTTTTTCTTCGCTGGCAATCAAATCTCTCTCTAGATTATGAAACGTAAATTCGCCATTTGAATGTAGCCTTGAGTTAATGGTGATCTGAAGTGGATGTTTTTTTCATTCTTTTGTGGCCAAGTTCCAAAGACATATGTGTCGATTTGGCTTGAAAGTTTTTAGTTGGATGCCTAGTTATTTGACGTAGTCCATCCGTCCATATAAGATTCACCATCTGTTCAGTTTGGTCCAAGTACAGCCGGTAAAAACACTTTAAAACTCCGTGTTCTTATAAAAAGGAATCTCAAATCAGATCTTTTTAAAAGATGACGTGCCTTTCAAGCAATATGAATCGGACATTGTCATCTGAACTTACAAACGACACGACCAGCTCATTTTCGTTTTCTCCTGAACCAGAAGCATGGAGAGTTATCCGCACGGTCTTGTTCAGTCTGATAGCAGCTCTAGCCTTAGTTGGAAATTATGTGGTGTGTCGAGCAGTGTGGAGACACACCGGAGCTAAACCGATTGCTCATTACTTAGTCGGCAACTTGGCTTTTGCCGAAATCGTCAGCATGGTGTGTTTGGTTTTGACTTTTCACGCCCGCGAGCCACCTTGGTCTTGGAAGCTTGGACATGCCATGTGCAAGATGCTTCCTCCACTACAGATAGCAAGTCTACTCATCATTACAACAACCTTGGCTACCCTTGCCGTCTATCGTTGCGTGCTGCTGACTAAACCTCTCATACACAAACCAACACGCAAACAAATTTATGGTTATGCTCTTGTCTGTTGGGTGGGGTCTGTTGTACTAGTAATCCCCGCAGGGTATTTTCGTGTCTTGAATTCCTGGGGTGAAAACTGCAAGTTACTTATTTGCCAAGAAGTATTTCCCGAAAGCCTAAAACATTACCAGGATGTTTACTCAATCATCCTCTTTGTAGTCAACTTTGCCCTGCCATTTGTAATCATGGCCTTATCTTACTCTTTGGTGAGAAAGAAAATCAGAGAACACATCTTTGTTGTTCAAAGGCTTCGCGACGAGCAGAGCAACGCACTCTCATCGGTGACCCAGCCTTCAACTTCTACTGAAGAGATACAAGCAATAGGGGACATAAACCAAATAGAGCATGAGAATCAGATGACATTTAAACTGGTAAAAATAGAAAATGGGGTTAATATAGAAAAGGTTGTCAAAAAACCACAAAGAAGGGTAAAATTTGCACGAAAGATCAGCGGAAAAAAATCATTCCCTCAAACCCTTTTGACGAAAAACTGTAAAACAGCTTTGGAACTAGAGAACGATTTGGTCCGAATGGTTTACGCTTTGGTGTTGGTTTTTGTGGTTTGCTACATTCCATATCAGATTCAGTTTCTTTTGATGGAATTCAATGTGAAGGCGTTCATGTATTGGCCTCATCGTTACATATTTGATAGGCTTGTTTATACATTAACTTGTTTACCAAGTGCCTTACAACCAGTATTTTACGGAATGATGAGTCAGTTTTACCGCAAAGCCTTTATTAGAATGATTGCTTGTAGAGATTCCAGATAATTATCCAATGTTGCCCCCAGTTTGTATAGCTTTTCAGTGGCGGATCCAGACCTTCAGATACGGGGGTGGAGGAAGGGGGGGGGGGGGGGGGGGGGGGGCTTTTGAAACCGGGAAAAAGGGGGGGGGCGGGCCCCCAAAAATTTTTTTTGGCCCTCTCAACCCCCCGGGCCCCCCCCCCGGGCCTCCCCCCCCCTTTTTTTGTGTTTTGTGAAAAAAAGAGGGGCAATTGTACAAATTTGTTTTCTCTTTTTTTTTTTTTTTTTATATTATTCTTTTCAAATGTGCTTTAAAAATTATTTTTTGAGAATATGATTTTTTTTTTTATCACAAATTTTTTTTTTAATATTTTTTTTTTTAAAATTTAAAATTTTTTTCCTCTTGTTCCCCGTTTTTTTTTTGTTTTTGGGGGGGGGGGAAAAGGTTGGGGGGGGGGGGGGGGGGGGGGGGGGGGGGGGGGGGGTTGCGGTCATTCAGAACCTGAGATAAGCGGGGGGCCCGGCCTCCAAAAATTTTTTTCGGCCCTTCGAACCCCCCGGGCCCCTCCCCTGGATCAGCCACTGCCTTTTATGGTGATTTCGAAATAAGAAGTGGACAATTACTACAAAATTGTCCCCTGTAGGGGAATCTCTATTCCAGAATCCGGAAAATTTTTAAACTTGGAATCCGGACTCCTGCTCTTTGGTATCCGGAATACAGCTCAAAGAATCGGGAATCCTACTAACGTTTGGAATCCAGAATTCAAGTTCCACTGACAAAGTCTGGAATCCGGAATCCACGGCGTAGAATCCAGAATCCAAGACTTTCTTGGATTCCCTTACATGGGGTGAAAATTGATGGGGCGCAGAGATTTTGGAAGATGCAAGAAGTTGTGTAGCCTCCCACGCATACGTTTTTAAGGGAGCTCGTCTCTCATCCCTTCCAACAAACGCCTGCTCAACCGAGAACAACATTCCTTTCCCAAGCTTAGCCAATCACATTGTACTTTCCAGATTCTAGAAAGTTGACCTTGACCGCAGGGTAATCCAATAATTGCTCGATCTGAAAGAAACACTGGAAAAGCTTTATCACCTCTAATAAATTTGAGATTCAGAGCGGCAAAAATAAGATTTCGTCAAATTTTAGAATACTCCTTGCACTGCATAACCTTAGCAAAGGAAATAAAAGAAAGAAAACGGTAACTCTAGGATCACGTTTTTACACTACCAGGAGCTTATGAGTCGTGATTAGCTTGTCAACACTTTATTTCAAAACTATTGATTGCTCACTTACCACGCGAATAAAAAATGGGAAAGAAATGTTGTTTTCGGTTGAGCAGGCGTTTGTGGGGATAGAAGAAATACGAGCTCTCCTAAAAACGCCTGCGTGGGAGGCTAGAAGTTGTACATCTAAGACCCTATTTACATGGAGTGGGGGACCCCGGTCTAGTGGGGTTGGTTTCTTTTGTTTTGTGTCCCCTAGAGCGTGAAAACAAAAGAAACCAACCCCACTAGACCGGGGTCCCCCACTCCATGTAAACAGGCCCTAAGATGAAAATACCGTATTTATTCCATTAACCGCCCTGGGTGCTTTTTAAATTTTTTGGACATTGAGAGTGGGCGCTTATTAGAGGCTGGGTGCTTATTAAATTTTCACAATTTCAAAAAGTGTAGTATGTTTATTTTGCAACAAAACAATAAATGGAAATAACAAAACTCGAAGATGTAACAAAGCAAGGTTTCTGTAAAATAATCTGAAGAAAACTCCGTCTTCGGGGAATTCTCTTATTAGCACTTATTCAATTTTTTTCGGTTGGGAGGTGAAAGAGGGTGGGGTGGGGGTGGGCGCTAATTCGAGGTTGGGCGCTTATTGGAATAAATACGGTAGTTATTGTTCTCGTTTTTCTTTGTTTTTTACTAAAGCGTTTCCATTTCGGCCGGGCTTATAATTGAAAATGATAACATGAGGGCAAGTTAACTAGAAATTGGTTACAAGGTCGTAAGTCTGAACATGAACATTTCAAACGCAGCAGCAACAATCTTATCGAAATTGGATCAAAATTTGTAGAAAATTGAGCCATGGTCTTACTGTTAATAACATACCTCGTTCAGCTATAGTTCATAGGGTACCTCAGTTAAGTAACCCAAATGACCGAACTGCGAAAGCAAATTTACGTGTAGCTACTAGCAAGCTTTTCCGATCGAGTTATGGCGCGAAAGTTAGAGCTCCCCCTCCCCCGTCATTCCTTTTTTTTTGTTCTGGTTCCAACTTTCCTCGACGAACTCGCGCGGAAACGCTTGCTACGCAGGCTAATTTACGAGTTTCTAAGTTGTGTTGAAAATAAAGCAACTAGATAGTCAATTAAGGACAAAAGATTTAACTTACTGTGAAGTGAAATGGCAGCAATGATAAAGGTCAGCGCAGTGACAATAAAACCTACGAAAAAAACAGTGCACGTGAAGTTTAAAGAGGAAGATGAGGGATCGGCTCCTGGAGGGTATAAGAGGGATGTACTTTCCTGTCAAAAAAAAGGATATAAGAGGGTGAGGTGAGGGTTTGGACTTCGGGGCCGGGGTAGGGCCTCCCTGTACAAATCTCCACTATCTGCAACAGCGTACAGGGGCTATTATTAAAGCCTCCTCGGCTTTCCCTTGCTTTCATAGCTTTACACTGAACTTACTACGTTTTTCCAACATCGTCTCCAGGGCCTTTCCCTTTTCCCTAAGGGAAAAGCCCTGGGGACGAGGTAGGTTGATCGTTCAGTTTTCGTATTTTCATTCATTTTCTCCCATTCAGGAAGTCTGCTTTTTTTCTCATTTGAGTCCTCAAGCCCCATTCTATGTCATACCGTAAAATTCCGAAAATAAGCCCCGGGGCTTATATTTTTCAAAGGCCCTTTTTGAGGGGCTTATTTTTGGAGGGGCTTATATTCGGAGGGGCTTATCTACGGAGGGAAATTTACGTTTCAAAATCGATTGGGCCAGCTTGTAAAGGGAAGGAAATTTACCATTTTTGCTTTGTTTTTCTTTGTATTCGAGGGCAAATTCCAAGTACAAGCCCCCCCGGGGGCTTATATTCGGAGGGGCGATTTAACGGAGGGTTTTTTTCGTTACGATTTTGAGAGGCTTATATTTGGAGGGGCTTATACATGGAGGGGCTTATTTTCGGAATTTTACGGTATTTCAAAAACATCCAGCTACATCTACTGTCGTTAAGTTTTCATTTTGTTTTCTTATAGACATCTGTGGTTTATACAGGGTCATTGCCCATTTGACCTTGTAAAGGAAGTACTTTCACATCCGGTTACGCCTTAGCCTCCTAGCAGACCTTCTTGGGGGTTCGTCACGTGTTCCTGCCCACAAACGTCGTTTGTGGAGCAGGAACGCGCGACGAGCCCCTAAGAACGAATGCTTGGGACTGCTAGTCACCACTAAAAGGCAAGTTGCACATTCATTTTCCCTTAAACGACATCTGTTCTCGGATTTTTAGTCCAAGCGCAATCGTTTTAATTACTTAGGGGTAAGTATACCTCTAACATTGTTTTATGCAAGACTGACAACTTAATCAAGTTGGTTAGTCATTGTTGATAATCACCACAGTGAGTGTTGATGTTATTTCCTTTCACTCGACCGTTTCACTGTGATATGCTCTTGACTCTGTGAGAGAGAAATGAAGGGCGACAAAAACCACCTTGTTTAACGTCACGATGTTCGATTAAGTCATTTTTAGCGTTTGGTTTAATTATCAGACGAGTGTATAGTGAGACAACTACCGCAGTTGATGAGTTGTGGGCAAGCAAAGTAGTGCATTCTGATACGACTGATATATGAATCGATATTAAACTTAAACTGCAGTGCGACTTTGATCTGAAAGATGATCGAGGATCGCTAACTCGGCGCTCACTTACGGCGCTGAATGAGTACAACGCTGCAATAATCTTCCCCCGTCATAACAATGATGACGGTTACAACAGTACGAACATAAACAAGCAGCTCTCGCCCTCCCAAAATACGCCTGCACTGCAGGCTAGTTGAAAAAAAGTATTTCCTCTTCATTTTCAGCAGTATAACCAGTCCAAGTATTGGAAGATATTTTTATGCGCACGTATGCTAGTTCTCGATTGAAAAGAAGGAGCTTTTGTAGAAAAAGTGTACTCCAATGTTTTGTTGATTTTCGGCGGCCATATTGGTGCACCAAAACTGTGCACCAATATGGCGTCTCCATACAAAGCTCTACAAAGGTTCATGAAACGTTTCGGCAAATACACAAAGACCTGAGACTTGGACAAATTGTTTAAAAATTAGTCTTTTATAACATTTCATTTTCTTGGCTTCTTCCACTGGACGGTTTCCAATTTATTTTTTTGTTGCGTGACAGTGAAAAACCCAAGCCGCCCCCGCCACCTAAGTAGTTTTGACACTCATGCAAGATAGCAGCTCCCGTAACGCAAAGCGCTCGATCTCGATGATCTTACGGAAAAATAGAGGACTGTGAATAATCTACACTATTCCGAAAAATAGGTTTTGTCACCTTAGAACCCCCGTGCTCAGCCGGCATTCTACTCAAAAGCTTTGTATGTGTAACATGCGTTTCCGACATGAAAAGTGTTCATAAAATTCGCAATGAGCGTTTTTAAAACGGTTTTTTTGAGCCTTATTCAAATATGTAAAAGGTATTACTGCTATAGGGAGCAAAACGTGGTCCAAGTAACTCGAATAAACGGTTAAAATCAGAAAATATAACGACCTGATCAAAGAAGCCTACTGAAACTCTGTCTTAGTCAAATAGCACTCTATGAATCCCCTTATTGTGAACTGGTATTTAAGCTTTCTCGAGAAACGCCCGGCGATATCAATCAATGAAAATCAATCATTGATTGCAATCAATATAATCAATAATAATCAATAATAGTCCATTGATTATTAATTGGTTCAACCAATCAATAAAAATCGATACTCACTCACCAAATGGTCTTAATTGCTATTGATTATTATTGATTTTTATAGATAACTGATTACGCAACT